TCATAGTATACGACACTTTTTGCTGCATCACTAAATACAAAGGAGGAGGTGCTGAATGAACAATGTTGTAACACAGCTTGGACCCAAAATATTAAATCACTCTTGTAAGAGCTGTTGCTGACTTGCTTCCTCTTAACAATAATTAATACCTTTGCAATCTGGTATAAGTGGTGGTTGTTCCCAGAAATTAAGACAGAGTTCTGTCTCCATTCTCCATATTTGTATTTCTAGTGACTGCTAGCTTTGTATTTGTCCAATTCAGATGAAGGTGGTTCTTGAATAAGTGGCTTCACATTCCTACCACCAACATTGGTATTGGTATTTAATGTTGACAGCCTAAATTAGAAAATTACCAGATGTGGTTGTTGAAGCATGTATGCGTTGTGTTTCTGAGTAGTCACATAAACATATTTCCTGAATTTAACCATAGTAAAGGATCATTTCCAAGCACAATACATAATGTATATCTTTTACCTAAACATAAACTGCCCTGGTTATAGAATATTCTCTCGTTTGATATCAGATTCACTTAATTGTCAGTTGAATGAAATTATAAAATAGAAAGTCTTTGGGGTCATGTCATCCCTCTCTTCTCTCCCTCTTCTCTTTGCATATCACATGGAGGTTGAAGGTTTTCTAGTTTAGAAACAACCTTCATTTATTGTGATGTCCAAATCATGTAGATAACCCCCCCACACACAAATTAGGGCTTGGTGTCTGCCAGTTGCAGCTTGCTAGTTTGTCTGATCTGGGCACCACAACAAATTGTCATTTGTTAGAAATGAAGAAGTCTTTAGTCTGTGTTTTGTGCTGAAGGGGAGCTCACAAGCCCAAGATCATCTGAGGCTCATTCTCAGGCCATGGGTTGTTTTCATGGTGCAGGCTTTTCTAGTGTAACTTCCAGTGATCTAAGAAAAGGATGGTATCCAGTGAAGCACACCACACCAAGGAGCTCAGTTGCCTTGTCAGTGGGCTGTTGTGTTCCCTCTTCTCTGTCCAGAGGGGTTTCATACTCATTGACATTCCAGGAACACACATGAAGCTGCCTCATACTGAATCAGACCATTTTGGTTTATCAAGGTCAGTATTGTCTACTCAGACTGGCAGCAGCTCTCCAGGGTCTCAGATAGTGACCTTTCACATCACTTACCACCTGATCTTTTAGCTGGGAAGCTGGGAATTGAACCTGGGATCTTTTGCATGCCAAGCAGATGCACTTAACACTGAGCCACAGCCCCTCCCTATGTAGCCTAAACTGGTAGGCTGAATAGCACCATGATCCTCATTCTCTTTCTCACTCCCCACCCACCGCACTCATGAAAATCATTTGAAGGGGGTGCTTTTGGCAGAGATTTATGCTTACTAAACAAAAATTACTGGGCTCAAGAGTGATCCTACTTGTGAGGTTGAATTTGAACTTGAACTATGATTCCCCCCCCCCAGCAACTAATTGTTAATGTGCTTAAGATTATCCTAGCATTTTGAGAACTAGTCATAGGTTGTTCAAAGTGTACAAAAATCATTCTCTAAGCACATGATAGAAATGAAAGTGATTAGATTTCTGATGTATTGAAAGTTGTTTGGAGAAATGATTATTATTCTATATTGTGACCTCCATCCAGCTTATCTGAAGTTGGTGCTGTTGATCTGATGGTGCGCACAGTGAGGGCTGTTAAGATGCAAGCTGCAGGCACCGGTACAATAAAATTACTTGTCTTATATAATTCAGAAGTTCAAGCATCTATTTTTACACTTGAACTCTCCTTTAACCCAAGAATAATGGCTGGCTTTCCATTGTTATATTTCTATTTATTTTTAGGCACCATACTCATCCTTGTGAACACACACACACACGCACACACCATAGTTGTATATGATCCTTGGTGTTGTATTGTCAAATTATCTGGTCTCTTACCTTCATGAGAATCTAACCTGGATGCTTGCTTCTGTGGAGTACAGAATATACTTCTTTAAGAACTGCTAAAGTTTCATCTATATTGAAGCAATAAATGGCAGAATTAAAAATACAGGAAAATAAATGTGGTAGTAGAACTAAACAGTGCAATTGCTAGAGTGTTGCCTTGTACTTTACAGATAATTGGTCTGACTAGTCCAGAAGTGTCCAATCACTGGTACTGGCTCTTGAAGGTCTCAGGCAAGGATTTCTTCCAGAAACTGGACCAGCCACTACCACCTTCCACGTGCATTCCACTACTGAGTAGAAAATAGTGTGAATTTGTTGTGCTGAAGGGGGCAGCCATTGTGGCAATTTAACTTCTGCATCTATTGATTCAGTATAAAGATATTTGGAATAAGCTCATTTTAAATGATTTGTCAATTTGTAGTTTCTTCCCCTTGAACAAATTGCCTGAGTCATTGCATGGACTGTTCTTAAAGTGGCTTCTTACAATAGCTCTTTGAGCTAGCATAACCATTGTGTATAATAGCCTTCTGATGCATCTGGCCTTTCCAAGTTATAAGCTTTTTGCTTTGAATATAATTTCATATGTTCAGAAGGAGTCATGGTGTGGTTAGTTTGAAGATTGTGATTTCAGGAGAAAAGCTGGTGGTTTTGACAAGTAGTTTGCATACACTGATTAGTTGATTTGATTTTACAGAGCAAACTCATATTGTAAGCAAGGGGAATATTAGAATTTGATGTACTAGTTAACAGATATTGCTTGTTGCTGAGAATTCTCTTGGTAAATAAGCTTGGAACATTTGTGTGTAAAGTTTTTCTGCAATGTAGTCTGCAAACATAAAGTGGTTACTTCTGTGAGCTCTGTATATGCAGAGATGATTAATGAGAAATACATACATTTGGTCCCCTGTAGACCTGCAAACAATCCAAGCAAATTCCAGAGTTCCATTATCTTGGGTTCATGTAAAACTCAATATTTTTGTACATATGGAGGCTTAGGGGAGTCCCAACATCATGTGCTGGCAGGAAGCTTCCTTGGTGCAATGTGTGCAGCTGGGTTGTCAAAATTTTGTGCGAGTTTAAACACTTTCTGCAGCATGAAGCGTCATTCCAGTGAAAGAATACAAACAGCTTCATATAAGCAATTCTCATAATGATTCTCCAAACAACTCTCCAAACAACACAGATAGCAAGACCTGGAGCTTATTACTTTTTGTTTGGATTTATACTTGTTTGGAGGGCAAGCAGCAAAAATACAACACAGATACGCATTTACTGGGAAGATGAATCCTGAAAATGGCACCCTAAAACTACTGTATGTCGTTGGTCTCTTAGGGACCTGTTTGCTCTGTTTAACATCAGAGAAACATTTGATTAACTACTGGCTTTTATGTTTACCATGGGGGTAGCGTCCATTATTTTGCTGCTGCTTCTGATAATTCTACAGATGCAGCCTGATACTATCTAGTGAAGTCAGTTGAGCATTCTGTCCAAGATGTAGACGAAGGGGCTTCATGACCTGAAAGATACCGTGCCCCATTTTGTTTTTGAAAATCTAACCCAATGAAGAGTTCTGGAGAACTTGAAAGCTTGCATACTGTTTTGTGTTAACAAAAGGTATTAAATGACTTTTATTTTTCTGTGGCTACCTAAGTCTTTTGTACACATCTTATGAATTGTTTGCATTCAACACGTTATAATCAGTGTGTTTAATGACTCAACAATGCCAGGTGGCATCACTCATATTTCATTCATACATGTTGTAGATGCATCTTAAATAAAGAAGGCATACATATCAGGTGAGTGACATTGCTTGCTTTTTGCTCTGCTGACAAGCTTTATATGAGTACATTCTGTGTCAAGGCAACTTTTTATTTTCTCTTGTTCCTGCCCTGTTGTGAACGATGCATCAAAACAACTTAATAAAGCAAATGAGATTAAATGCCCATTAAAATATAAAGTCCTGTCTACTAAAGTTCTCTCTTCCAGATTTAAGCAGGCTATTAAAATGGAAACCAAGCAAGAGGACGCTTCCAGGAAATCTTCAGGCTTGATTTTTCAGTTTCCTAGATAAGAGAGCTATAGGAGAGTGCTCACAAGTGAACTTAAATGTGGTTTGTTCTGTTCAGGTCACAGATAATATCATTGACAGGAAGGCTGAAGACAGTTGTGATCTACCTCGAGATAAAACTGTCCTTAACATATTGAATGATAATCTGTAGGCCAGACATCCATGGCTACCATTTCAGATTTCATTGTGATATTGAATGGTGATCAGTGTTGATTCACTTAAAAACTTGTATAAAACTTGAGCATAGACCAGAGATTACATGTTTTCCTGAAGCATCCGCTACTCTCCGAATGGCCATGCAGGTACTATAGCACTGGTATTAAGTCTACTTGATGAACTGTTTGAATCAGGAAGAAGCCCGCCATGCTGTGAATTAGCTGAAACTTCCAGTGATCAAAGACAACTGCAGGTAGAGACCAATGTAATCATCTAGCCTTAGAAAGATATAATGATGATTGCTGTTTCAATATGTCAGAGATTCATAGTCAGTAGGTTGAAGGAAGTACAACTAAACACAATGGGTAACTGAGCTGTCAAACTTGCTCCCATGAGATGTGGTGATGGCCACTGGGTTTGATGGATTTATAATGGGTTTGGGCATGTTTATGGAGGATAGGTCCATTGTTTTTTTTTGATTAGCCATGAGAGCCAGTTGGGGCCTCCAAGTTCAGAGGCTGAATTACGCTGATTGTCATATCCTGGAGAGCAGTCAGCTGGTGATGGCTGTCCTCTAGCCTATAGCATCTCATTGGCTGCTGTTGGAATTGGGATGCTGAACTAGATGTGCCACTGGTCTGATTCGGCATATTCTTACCTTCAGTCGCCCCCTCCCTGAAGTAGAGGCTTCTTACTGAAAATCTTTAAAAGCATTTATATTCTACCAAGTAGATTTTAAATGGATGGTTCCATTGCCAATTGTTAACAGTAATGAAGAAAGCAATTTGGTTAGTGGGATATTCTGCCATTTAGTTGACAAAGTTGATAATTTGCATTTAAATATGATTATAGGAAGAGATGAAACAATGGAGTCCGTCAGACCATCTTTCCTTGACTATTTTGAACAAAAAGAAAAGGAGAATCAGAGAAACAACTATGGAAGACACGTGAATGAAAGGCACCCCTCAGAATGGAGAGTACCTCAGGATGGTGATTATGAATTTGTAAGTACAAACTTTCCTTACTGTTCCCCTTGACTCATGGTGGTATTAATAATAACAATGATAGAGACAGTTTATTTATTTATTTAAGTATTTTTACCCCGCCCTCCCCGCAAGCGGGCTCAGGGCGGCTTACAAGGGGCATAGCCCGAATATAAAATCACATAAAATCCAATAAAATCCAATAACATTACAATCAACAATAACAATAATTATAAAGTGCTTCCTTTTATCAGGCGGTCTTAAGTTGTTAAAAAATGATGGCATCATCGTCCAAGAGATGGTCCGAGCCCGTCCGCTGTACTCATCGTAGCATTCCAGTTACAGTATTAGCTTACAACTCATTGTGGTGGATGTAGAAAAAGGAACACAGAAATGCTAAAGGGCTGGAACAAGTACAGCTAATTTTTCTTATACAGATTTCCATTGACTTCCCCCAATCCGTTATGAATGACACAGTAGTGAGTACTGTGGGGGCTCTTTCTTCCGGCCATGTCCTGCTTGTGGTCAAGATAAATTAGAACATTGAACAGGCAAATAACTGTGGCCAACTAGGAGAAAAAGGACTGGGTTCTAGTAATAAGTGGCGCTCATGATTTTGGTAGCATCTTTACCTGTGCATGGAGCCTTGGAAAACCTCGGTCTCTGATGTAGCTCCACTGTGACCCTTGCATGGCTTGTAAGAGCTTCTTGGATCAATGTTAATTTAAATTTTTCTCTTCTGCTATGAGCAGCAATGCTAATGCTTATTGATCAAAATAAGATGATAGTGATGACCCCTTATTCATGTTTGGTCCTGTTGAGCATAAGACTGTGCCTGAGCAGCTGCTCTTGTGGGGCTCTGTGTGTCACCCTGAATGTTATCTTTCAGAAACAGGGTAGCTGTATTTTTTTCTGAGCAGCACTGCTGCTGTTCTTCCCTTTTTAATATATGCTTGGATAAGTGTGTTGACAGAATTCAGGCAACATAATGTAGCCTGATTAAATGTTGAAAGAATTTTGACTGTATTTTTCATTAGCATTTTAGATGGGGGGGGGACACGATTGAGACACCTTTGGGTAGTGAAGGGCGGGGTATAAATCCAATCTCCTCCTCCTCCTCCTCCTCCTGAAATAAAAATCAATCATGGAAGCTTCTGCTTTGTACCTAATTTTCCATATCCTTATTTACTGTGGCTTTGTCTCTTATGAAAGTGTGTACCCTTTTTCCCTTAAAATCCACAGATATACAGCAATAATAATTTATAATATAGAATGCATTTGGGAAAGGAAGGGACCCTGGTGCATTTTGTGGACATGATGAGCATCTGTTGGCCATTGTGTGAATCTGCTTTCTCATCCCCATTATTGCTGAAGCATATTTAGTGTGTAGATTAACTGTGAGCTTGAAGCATGAAGCAGTCTTATTGGCAAACTTAATGCTTTGTGTCACTTTCATATCGCTTTTTGAAAATATGCTTGTTGATGTTTTTCAAGCTCTTTCTGAACCCCTGGTTAACATTCGAAAAAGTTGTGGTAATATATGCTTAAATCTGAGAGATAATGAAAACATTTGAATGCAGTAGCCATTACTAGAGCTTATTTCATGTAGCCTTTGCATTAGAGAAGTTGTTGGATTCCTGACCCTTATAATCAGATCTCCCAGTATGACCTAAGTTGTAAAATACCTTCATAAACTCAGGCACAAACTGCTCCAGCTTTCATGGGTTTTCTTAATTTTTTTTAAATCAACACTTGGAAAATATGTGCAGTTCCATTATTTTGCAAATATATGTCCGCAACACAATTATCCACAGATCTTGCTTTTCTAAATATTTTGAATGCCTGTATTTGTGGTTTTAAAAACCATAATAGTGCAGTTATACAAATATCACACATGGAAGAAATACAGGGATGCTGAAACATTTAGCTAAATGTCTCTGGATAAAACGCAGGTATAAAATTGTCTGTATATTTTGAAGGCAAGAGTGTGTTCATTCCCATAATTGTAGGGAGACTATTTGGAAACATCTCCCAAGCTTATAAAACATCAATCAAATTAGAACACAGTTGCTGAAGGAGCATGTCCCCCATGCAGTTGCAGTGGAGGATTTTCCATAGCACATAATAGAGCTTTGTCTTTCGTCTCCCCCTTTAGCATGGGGCACCGTATCTGTGTTGGGGGGGGGGCAAATGGGAGGCTTTATGTGCATTTCACCCGTCCTGTTTAGCAACCCCTCCATACCCTTTTGGTCAAAGAAGGGTAGCTCGGAGGTTGTGTGAGGAGAAGTAAAGACTGGACAGAGATACAGAAGTCCTCCCATAGCTACCTGGCATACCAATGTCCTGTCCATAGCCACCCAAGGGAAGAGAGAAGGAAAAGAGATAAGGCCAAGATCTCCTTATATATAGGTGTGATGGACTGGAGGCTGTCCTGCCCACAAGAGGTAAAACAGTCAGACAGCTGTTTTGTGCCTGAGCATTTAGGAGCTGTGTCCCAGAATCCAATTACCTTTCAGGGGTGGATGGGATGTTGGAGCAAAGCACAGCAGCAGTCGGTTTGGGTCTGCCTCAGTGAAGAGCAGACCCATTAAAGGGCAGGTGTGTCTGGTAGCATGGCAGAGTAGTTTAACATGATCTCTGGAAGAGAACAGGGTACCCAGCTGTGAAGTCCTGCCTCGGGTGAGGAGCAGACCTGGTACTGTTTAGTCTGACTTTTGGGAAAGGGCAGGCTAGTTGGGTGGAGTCCTGGGTGTGTCTGTGAAAGAAACCAACCTGGTGGGTAGACAGTGAAAGCCTGTTTGTAACCTTAAGCATTAAAAGGAATTCAAATCACAACCCGAAGCTATAACTAGCTTAAGTTTACACACCTCACCCAGGTTTCTCTGGTGACTGTCTGGAGATCTGCGCTACTGAACTGTTCTTTAAAAAAACAACCTGTACCTAAATCTTTTGTGGTATTTTTAGACATCTCCTGCCTCAGAGATCTCTGTGTTCTTCTTGCTCACCACAAAACTTAACCTCACAACAGCAAACCTAAAGCCTTTATATCCACTGTGCCAACGATACCTTAGAACTGAGGGGAAGAACTAAGAAGGTTTTTATTTTGAAAAGCCCAGTTCCTCAAAATCTTAAGAGGTTGTATGGATCCCCTCTGTGTATAGGTAAAATCACTGATCCCCAATGTGGTGTGGAGGGACTCTGTGGTGCCCCCCCCCCCCCAAAAAATGTGTTTTCTTCCTCAAAGCAAGGACTGGATGTTGACTTTGTTCCATCTTTGAAGCAAGAGATGCTTCAGAAAAGCCAAGGAGGCATCACCCCTGCATATGCGAGGAGCACCCATTCAGAAGCAGAATCATGAGAAGATAGTTGGCTTGGAACCTCCAAGTACTTTCTGGTTGTGTTTTTCGTTAGCATTTTAGAGGGGAAATATATCTTGGGGCTGTACCTGGATGAAAATGTTGACGTCATATGTAGCATTGATGGAAAAGGGAAACTGCATATTTGGGATTTTTTAAGCAAGGGGTTGAAAAAAATGCCAATACTGTAATGCCCTTGTATAGATTTATAATGTGGAATTTATAATTTGGAATGCTGGGCACTGTTCTCATTGTCATATTTCAAAGATGCCGGAGAGCTGGAAGAAGTGAGGCAGAGGGAAAGATGATAAATGGATTGGTGCAACTTTCCTATGAAGAAAGGCTGAAGTGTCTGGGGCTTATCAGTTCAGAAGAAAAGATGGCTGGGGTTCATGATGGAAGCTGACAAATTATGCATATGTTAAGAAAAAGTGGATAGGAAGGTTTTCTCCCTGTCCCATACTACTGGAACTTAGAGCATCCAGTGAAGCTGATGGACTGTAAATTCAGGATGAACCAAAAGGAAGTACTTTGTTCAACAACTAACTCAAATTGTAGAATTTACTACCAGTGGCTGGCTGTGGTGATAGCTACTAGCACAGATGGCTTTAAAAGGGGATTTAACACACTAGCCATAGCGACTAAAGGGACCCTTCATGTTCACATGTAGTAAACCTCTAAATGCTAGAAGCTGAGATCAGGCGCAGGCCTGGGCCTCTGTGACCTGCTTGTTGGCCCTCCAGGACAACTGGTTCGTCATTATGTGCAGGGGCTGGCATCAGCATGCCCTGAGGAGGGGCAGTTGCCAGGGTCCAGGACTTCTGCTGGGGCCTGCTGCCACTGACCCACACACCTTCTCTGCCACCTGTCTGTATCCATGTTTCCAAGTGCCTGGAGTCATTGAGGAAGGGCATGCAGGTGGTTCATATTGGTGGCACTCCAGGTGTCAATGCATATAATGGCCAGTGCTGTCAGGACAAGAAGAAGAAGAGATTGGATTTATACCCCACCCTTCACTAGCCAAAGGTGTCTCAGAGCGACTTACAGACTCCCTTCCCTTCCCCTCCCCACAACAGACACCCTGTGAGGTAGGTGGGGCTGAGAGAGCTCTGACAGAAACTGCTCTTTTTCAAGAACAGCTCTTGTCAGAACTATGGCTTGCCCAAGGTCATCCAGCCAGGTGCAAGTGGAGGAGTGGGGAATCAATCCTGGTTCTCCCAGATTAGGGTCCGCGCACTTAAGCACTACACCGAATGGGCATGTAGGTGGTGCAGCAATCTCAGCATGGACAGTGGGAGGGCTTGCAAGCAAGAGAAGGATGACTGGGCAGATGGACTTGTTTTTGTTTGCTGTTTGATTCCTGCATCATTAGGTGGATATCTTTGGAAGACAGAAGTGAAGACCTTAACTTGAAAAGTTGCTGCAGGAACCAGATCACTTATGATATTAACATGTTTATGTATTATCTGGTGTCGGTTAGTGGTTTTGATTCAGGACCCTGATAATGGATCATGGAGCCCTGTCTGCCAGATAGTAATAATTATTATTGCATGGCAGTGTATGTAGTATAGCCAGGAGATCCTAGGATTGTCTGGCAGCTAGAAGCTCTAGCTCTTTTGTGGAAAGCTAGGTTTATGGGTGGGCTGAGAGAGCTCTGAGAGAACT